TAACTGCAGAAATATCTGCACTTGAATCAGTGTTAACGAGAAGGTTGCAATTTTTCACGTAGGATAAATATTGAATGAAAGTTTGCAGCAAATTAAACCCTATGATTAATTTTGTTGCGTCAAATTTTCATTTTTTTAAATTCAATTTTACATGCACTACTTAAAATTAGTCCAATTAGTCTGAAATTTTGCAGATATGCGGACAGATGCATGGTGAATAAATGATAAAAAAATCATTTCGAAATTTGAAAGCGTGCATGAGTCATTACCGGGACTCATGCGCACCCTATGATTAATTTCTCAGAATCCATGAATTATTCTACAAATGATTAATTTCGTTACATACTGTAGATGAGACAAAATGAGATAAAATTAGATAAAATGCCTATGTATTGGACACGATTTTGGCGATGGGCCATTACCTGTACAGTGTAGGCATAATAAATATCCTATGATTATTATCTGCAAACAAAGCCTTAATGGGGATTTTTGGACGACAGTGAATAAATTATCGGATATTTTTTTACCATTACCCATGTGGTATAATGGGTGCCTTTACCTACATATGTATGTAAAAACCTGTTGGTATGACAATATTGCTGAACTGACCATTGAATTAGATTAGCAAGGGAGTTGGACAGTTCATCAGTGTTTTGTTGCAAGGTTAAGTGGATTGCAAGACGAATGTTTTAATGCGTGTGTTTGGATCATTTCATTCTTGAAATATTTTCAAAGATCCTCACAAAACGATGCAAAACTACTTTACTAAATCATGGACCGAAGTGCCAGTAGTACAGTGCCAGTATGTATATATATATATATATATATATGTGTGTGTGTGTGTGTGTGTGTGTACCTGCACATTGGCAGATAGTTCCATTGGCAAATTTTATAGTACCGTTATTAGCTCACCCTGCGTAGCAGAGGAGCTATTGAATTCCTCTTGTCCGTCCGTCTGTCTGTCCGTCTGTCCGTCCGTCTGTCTGTCCGTCTGCCCGTCTGTCTGTCTGTTAACGACTCTTTTGCATCAATTGATGCTAATTACTGCGACTTATTCACGTTCGTGACAGACTTAATGGCACCACTGGTATCGAACAAGCGTCGACTCAAAATGGTGCCAAACAATTGATGGAATAGGTGAAAAACGCACAAAAAGTGCAGAAGAACCGAAAGAAATGACTATAATTTTTACTACGAATTTGCTGATATTTCATGTCAAAATTACTGTTTGTTTTCCTTCATTTATTTTCCACCATCGGCGCAAAATTATGTCACAATTATGTATATATTTTTTCCGCTTGTTCTGCACCATTAATGCAAACTTATACCAAAATTGCATATCAATTTTATTCGTCTACTCTGCACCATTGGTGGACAATTATGTCAAAATAATTCTCACAGGGTGAGCTACTTCCACCGTTACAACGGTTTATTTGTGATTGATTAACCTTGCTTTAGTCCAAATATGTGTGCATTCGTGGGCAGACCTCCGTTGTAAGATCAATGACCTGTTACTTACCAAATTGTAGATGAAATTGGATGATGGACGGAAAGCACTGTTATGTACATACATTATAAGTCATGGATTAGGCTAAAAATATATTAATGAATGCAATGGCTTCCTGAGTAAAGGGTAAGAGTGACCCTTCAGGTAAATAATGCATGCCCTCCAAAGCCCAACTATATTTAGTACCTGGCCCTCTTGCAACACTATTGTTTGGATTCCAGACTTTGGAATAATAATTTTCGTGCCAAGTACTTGAGACCCAACAGAATTACTCGTTCATGTCTCAGCAGAAAGGAAGACTCATTTCCAGCAATGATGGGCAGGGTGTTCCGACCTGGGTTTTAATGGGTTGGGTTTCATTGGGTTTTATTGGGTTTTAATGGGTTGTAAATGAATAAATCCCTACGGATTTAACCATGTTGGGTCGGTTTTATTTGGGTTTTAATGGGTTTTATTGAGTTTTATTCAGTTTTAATTGAGTTTTACCTTAAAATTACATTCTAAAAGTTAAATATGTCTCCTGCACATTAGAAGACGTTATCTCAATTCACCTAAGCAAGTTATTTCTTCACTATTATAACACATGAAAATCCAGAACAAATCAACAATTGACTTCATACTTTGGCATCCCAGATTTCGAGTGTTATAAAAAATATAATTTCAGAATCGATACAAATTCCAATATGGACAAAGGGAATTAGTATATGATTGGGATTGAATTTGCAATAATTGCGAATTATTTTTGTTATGTTATTACTATAAACCTAATAAAACCCTATTTCAATTATTCCGGATTTCAATTATTTCAAGTCTTCGAAAAACTCGATTTTCCCCAAATACCGGTTTTTAATCGGTTTTTGATATATTTTTAAAATATATAAGAACAAAATTTGAAACGAAATAGTAAAACGCGTTATTTTTGGTTAGGGGAAATATATTTCAGAATTATTAATTTTTACGTTGAAGGCAAGAAATGATAAATCGTGGTCCATAGACAGTAAAATCTAACACTGGTTTTCGATTGTAACAAAATCGGTTTCTGTGAAAATTTTACAACCGGTTTCTCTCAAAGCCAGTCTTCTATGTATTAAATAGTAAAACCACTTTTCGAGTCAATCGAAAACCGGTTAAAACCGGCTTTTTAAATCAGAAAAAGCGATTTTGGATCCCCTATTTATTGTAGAAGCTAGATTGGAAATTTTAACAATTTTTCTACCTGTTTGTAAAATAGTTTTGACTCCATCTATTTGAAGAATTGCCGTCCAAACTACCACGCTGGCAGACATTCCCGCCAGGAATGCTCGATCCATGCTCATTACTCCGTTTTCAAGTGTGATACAATGGTTAATTACCCGAATTGTGGGGAAGTAAACGGCCACTTGAGAGATGCCTGTGGAATTTTTATGCATATCATTGTAATAATTCTAAACTAGGGTTGCCTATGAGACGGGGGAGGCCTCATCTCATGTTATCCCATACTACCTGGTGAGATGAGATGAAACCTAAATGATTCTCAACTTTATATCTCATCTTACCTCGTCTCATTTATTTTGAGATGAGATGAGTGTACTCCCAAGCAAAAAAGCACAGTACTATGCTTTTTGCCATTTTGCTGTAAAAAGCAGCTTTTTCCTTGTTTGTAATTTTTACCATTGTTGACATTGGCGGGCCGCTAGGTGGCACCAAGAAAAAACTTAAGAAAAAACTTAAGAAAAAACTCAAGAAAAAAAAACTTAAAAAACGTAAGAAAAAACAAAGAAATTTAAGGTGAATAGGGAGTAGAATGGTTGAGGCAAAAAAGGTAGACATTTGACCAAATATTAAAAAAACTCGTATAATCTCGGATCGGATAGACCACCCCTATTAGTTTATTTTCCGCGGTTTTACCGCATAACGTGTTACTGTCCACCCACATGACTCTACCAGCGGGATGACACTTTGGTACTTTTAACCGTACCAAACAATAATGTCAAGCAATTATTCTACATGTATGAGATTAGTTTAGGAGATTAACAGATATTGTACTTTTTAAAGGTGAGGAAGAAACTCTTTAATATTAAACGGCTAAGGGTTCGAGGTATCCTAAATTAGATAGCTTACATATCCACAAATACTTATTGAAGCTTTCTTAAGAAATAGGAAATAAATTATGAAGACCGAACTAATTAAAATTGTCATTACATTCCTCCACATATGTATGTCTACATGTATGTTCCAATTATTTCAAGTGTAATTCAACTCTTTTCCCTGTGGAGGAAATTGGATTTTTTCCATAGCCAACTCCAATAAATTTCACGTCGCATTTCGCATTTGAAAGGACATTTTAGGACACTTTCCTAAAATACACAGGCTATATAATTCTCCTGAATTACTTGAAATTCATTATTCAAATTATAATCTGACTCAGAATTATATATTAAACAATTCCTCCTACTTCAGCCCCCACGAGGCCGTGCGGACAATTACATTGGTTGTCCCCACTCTAAAATTTCCGTGGGGAAATTGTCCCATGTCCCCACGCTTCCGCGGCCACAGGTGCGGAATAATACATGCCAAACTTTACCCTTGTGTATGCAAAATATTTAATGAAAACCACGATTTTTTTCAAAGAGTGATAAAATAATAAGAATAACAAGATAGCAATACATATTTAAGATCGTCACATTGACAAAATGGGATTCGCGAGTAATTCCGAAGTGTCATCATCGTACACGTCATAAAAAATCAATTGATCATCGGGATGTGCTGAGACGGAGGAGGATTTTTGTAAAGTACATCATCCTTGCATAATATTAAGAGAAGAAGATTCGGAGCGAGAGTATCGATTCGAGAGAAATTTCAAGGCTTCTCCAGTAATGAAACCTTACTCAATTTCCTGACTTGTTTGATCTGCACTCAAGCAAAGTGGGTAGGATGGTTGGTACTTTATTATGAGAGACTGTGCGCCATAAGGTGGGCACGGGAAAGAATTCTGTTATAATAAAGTATCAACCATAGAGGTGGATTGGGTCGGGCTTCTCATAATTGTCATTTGTACTGAGTGACGAATATTGAATGACGTATGAAGATGATGCAGGGAACTCTGGATGCAAATTCAAAGTTAGAGAATGTAGAACGATAATTTTTTCTAACAAGAGGTAATTAATTCATAGAGATGATTATATATAGGGATGCGTGTTGATCTTGTATTTTTTCAGATTCGCCACAGTTTTGTACAGTACGTAATTTTTTACTAGAGCGAAATGTAACTTATTCTGCATAAAATAAATATTTGTAGGATTATTGGGATTGTGAGTGTAGCAGAATCAAAGTAGAAAAATGGCAAGTATTTCGAAATCTGTTTAGTATCTGATATTTACATACTTTAGGGATGGATTAAAAGTTAAAAATCTGAGCTGCCAACACGAATTTAATTGCACTTAACTGTAAATTAATAATTATTGTGAATACTAAATTGTGCCATGGTGACAGAAATATTCATTAATTTTGTGTATTATTATTCGTAACTTGTTTTTATTTGGATGTATGAGCACGAGATTAATTATGATGAAAAAGAAAAATTGCAAATATTCGTTTTCCAACTTATTGGTCAGCACCATGCCTCGTTTCGAGAATATGTCTCATGGCTTTTTCCCTTTTGAAAAAAGTTTTCCCGCACCCGCCACATTTAAAGAGTTTGACCACGGGGTCTTCCATGGCGGTTATTTTGCGGAGTTCAATAACCCCGTCGATCAACCAGACTTTTCCTCTCTTTGGACCAGACAATTTGCCACAGTTAAACCGTCCTGGTGCAATACCCGGCTTCTCCGGCTTTCATTAAAATCGTCCAATTTTTGAAGAACTCGATCCCAAATTTTTTCTCCACCTTGGGCCAGAACTTGAGGAATTCGTCATACCAGGCGGCGGCCGTTAGTCCGTAGTCGTACCCAAAATTGTGCCAGTCTTCGATTATGAACTTCCCATAGATGGCGCGCGTCACGTCATGCGACGGCGGCGACGGCGACGCGGCGTTTCTGAAAGTGAGTGCAAATGATATAAAAATATAAATTGCTATATATAGGTACTGAGATTGAACGTAATAAAAAAATTAATTGCACCAGGTTTTATTATATGTATGAATCTGGTAAGGATCTGGATCTGGTAAATATTAAATATGTAATTGTAAATTTCTTAGATATGTAATTGTAAATTACAGTAAATGAGACCTTACAAGTCCACAAGATATGTTAGCTGCACGAGCGGTGCCGTAACAATTAGTTTTAAGTTAACACTGTTAACTACTTTAAATATTTTGGGGTATATCGCCAATCGTTTTCTATGTACATACGTGATGCTCAACATCTGGTAAATATTGGCAGAGGCTGATCACGACTTAAATTTAATTTGGGAGTTCGTATCATTAGCAAGAGTATAAAGATGAAAAATTTTCTTACCTTGAAAAAGTAATTGCAAACCTGCTCATCTCCAGGACTGGTTTAAATTTGGAAAAAAATTCGAATCTATTTGCGATGCAGACTTGACAACCAAGGTTAACAACAAACTTGTCCAATTACATATACAATCCGTTTATTATTGAAGATATTTCCCTCTTAGTTGTATAAATAAATTTAAGAAAATCCTTACCAAATTCATACATATAATAAAACCTGGCGCAATTAATTTGTTTATTACGTTCAATCTCAGTACCTATTTATAGCAATTTATATTTTTATATCATTTGCACTCACTCTAATTCTGGTTTTGTTTGCACTTAAGTTTAACCAGTATACGGCCAATGTATGTACATATGTTGATAGATATAGAAGACATAAAAATATTCACACTTGAAAGACACAGGTACTGTAATTTTACCTAAAGTGCTGTAAATCCACGGAAGATACATATGCGGGAATGATGGTAATTGTATGAAGTATAAAAGAAGTTGTCTCATTTTCAAACGAGTTTTATATTTTCCTGCTCATCACACTATAACTACTCGTTCCAGCTGAAATGAATCTCGTTCCAGTTGAGTTTTATTAATTGGAAAAACAATTACTGATATTCTTAAAACAAGTAAATCTGACTAAAATTTTGTCTTATTAAATTTACTTATAGGTTATTCTTCTGGCTTTGACGGTGGTTGTCTCAGCTGCCCCGCAAGGTTACCAGGAACCCATTGGAGCTGATAGCTGCCTTGGCGGGTAAATATCTTATCAATTAGTAAATCTGGGGATAATTTAGATTCGAGGTGAAAATGGATTTGTTACAGATGCGACAATTTTGACCAGCCTAAAATTATCGGAGGTGATAGCTGCCTTGGCGGGTAAGTGTTTTATTAATCTACTAAATCCTGGATTAATTTAGACTGGAAATGAAAATAAATTTATTGCAGATGCGATAATATTGACCAGCTTAAACCAATTGGGGGTGATACCTGCCTAGGCGGGTAAATATTTTATTAATCGACTAAATCTGGGGTTAATTTAGATTCGATATGAACATGAATTTGTTACAGATGCGACAATTTTGAGCAGCCTAGAATTATTGGAGGTGATAGCTGCCTAGGCGGGTAAATATCTTATCAATTTACTAGGGACCCTTCCAAGGTGCCAGTCGAGTCCAGGGTTCCCACCTATGCTAAAATGTGCACAAGACATGACTTCTTTCGTGAACTGAAAGAATTTCCGTGTAAAATTCAGTTTTCATCAAGTTGTGACGATATTTGTGACGAGCGGTTGACCATCGAGTGCAGGAGAGATCCACTGCGCTCGTCCTCTTCGTTTGTTTACACTGCCCTGCTGAGGAAAAAACCCATGTTTAAAATCCCACCAATTTTTTTGTCTATTTTTTGTCTGTTCCTCCTCCCCAACAAATGTGCAATGAGGAGCCAAGTAATGATATTGTACATTACAAATAAGAATAATAAGTCTCATATGCGGTACACAATTTTGTCAAAATTTTATTCCATTTTGTAATTCAATAAATAGTTCGAATACATTAAGTTAACACAACTAGCGATTTAAAACCGTAAATTGCTTAACTTTTCTGCTGTAGGCGCTGGCACACTTTCGTGGCACTGACACTACTTTAGAAAATACGCTGATAGACCGAAATTTATTGGTAATGCCGTTGGGACATACGTCTACAGAAACTGTTTAATAAATGCAATCTTTTTGGCTTTCTCTAAGCCTAAACGGTTTCGTTTGTCGGTTGTATCATTAAAAACAGAGAAGGACCGTTCCAAACCGGCTGTGCTGGATGGCATTTTCAATAAATCCGAACAGAGTTCCAAAAATTGGGGCGATATTTTTTGAGGGTTATCATTTTGAGCAGTCTTCCACCAGGAAATAGCATTGAGATTTTTGGTAATACTTTCATCAAACAATTCGGAAGAAAAAAAAGTTTCATCTTTTGTTAAAAATGCCAACGCAATTAGTAAAAATGTGTTGTCCATATTCTTCAACCATTTTCTTCCCCTTTGACTCATAGCAGTAGGAAGTTGACAACCTGTAAATTACACAAACACAAACGTTTAGTGCTTCTCACGATTATGAACAGTTTGATACTTTTTATACCAATATATTTGGGATGGAGCATGAAAGCGGCAACTGCGAAATCAGGGGTGCCCTTATCAAACTGAAGTTTGAAATACTCGTCCGCTGCGTTCTTGCCAAGTTCCTTTTCATTACGTAACCAACACCATACAGCATCCGCAATTGTCGAACTATTTTTTTGAAGCTGAAAAGACAACAGTGTTAGTGCCAAATGAAAATATTTGTGTCAGTACCTGTTTTGTTTTTTTAAACAAAATTCGATTTCTACTTACTGTGTCAAGCGATTTACCAATTGGTTCTAAAACTGCTAGGGCAGAAGTCAAATTTTCAAACGTTTTTGGATTTTCTAATGTTGACTTTATCTCGGCGGGAATTTTCTCATCTTTTCGGGAAATTTCTAAATATTTAGCTTGATTTGCAACATAGCAGCGAAAACAGTCAAGTTGACTGTTCCATCGTGTGTCCCCCGGTACAACTGGTCTCAATCCATTTAGTTTTTTGAGACAAGCCGAAGCAAAATCATGGTTTCGAAAATATTTTTGAACTTGAACAATTTGAATTTTTAGGTCTTCAGGGGTCCTCTTTTTCCCAGTTAAATTGAACAGATGTGAGTTGCATCCATACGTCAGAATGTTCGGCAAGTCTTTCTTAAGTAACGATCTTGTGGCCTCCATTGTGTTGCAGTTGTCCGTGATGCATGCTACAGTTGTCGCCCCAAACTGTTCGCTTATTTTGTTGATGCAGGACTCCAACCACTGCTTGCAATTTTTGGCGGACTTTTTCTCTTCTTCTGCAGAAATTGCGTCAATAAAATACACCTTATCATTACAGGAAACTGAATGAGCAATAACTGCTTCATGTTGCGGTGAGGTCCACCCATCCTGCATCACGGTAACCCTCTTTCCATTCAAAGCGGACTTTACTTTTTCGAAGCTCGCATTGTACAAATCGTCCAATAGTTTATTCGATAGTTGCTTGGCCGAGGGTAGCTCATAGTTTGGTCGAAGAGCTGCGACGAAGTCTCGGAACTCTTTATTTTCTACAAGAGCGAAAGGAACATTCGCCGAACAGATGAATTTAACGAGTAGTTGATCTAGTCGTTCTTTTTCCTTGGCCGATGTTGATGAGAAATACGCATCAATTTTTCTTTGCTTAGCTGGTTTTTCCAAAAGAAATGATATATCTTTCTCCCCCTCCGACGCAGATTCAGCCGAAGCAGACGGCCCCGACCCGATTGATCCAATCGGCACTGACACGGCTGCTACAGCTGAACTTGAATTTGCACGACGTTTTCGACCGGGATTTGCATTCTTGCATTTTGATTGAATGTGATTTCGTAGTCTGTCTGCTTTGGGGCGTCGAATTTTGTAAGTGCAATGTTTGCAAACCCATTCTGAAGGAAATTCAGGTGATTGGATAAAATTTTTCCAAATTGGGTCACGCTGCCGGCCTAATCCTTTTTTCCCCCCAGGAGGCTGCTCAGGAGGCTCTGTGTCGGAGTCGTTTTCATCACTGACTTCTTGGTCCGTTGATTCTCCAAATAAACTGTTGACAGTATCCTCCGAGATTGCCAACTCACTGTCGTCATCCTCATTAAGTGATTGGTCTAATATAAGGAGTGTACAGTCTTCCGCATTATCTAGATTTACAAAGACCACTTCGCATTATTCCTTCATTTAATAATTAAAACGAAATTATAATCAATTTGTGCACCTAGGTTGTCGAGCTCATTACGTATTTCCTGTGATCCGAGCAAAATGAGACGGGGGCCCGGAGTTCCGAATTTATCCGTCATTATCTAAACCAACAAACTCAATAATATCAACACAAATGCAGCAAACAGTTTTTTGTATAATTGTGTTTTTGCTTACCTTTATATATTGCTTACCTATATATAACTAGAATCCTTTGTAGGCACTGACACAGTTTGATGGCACAGACACCACACAGTAATTATTCTTATCATGTTTTTTAAAAATAGTGTTTGGTAATTTGTGGCAAACTAAGTTGTAGTAGCAAATTTCTTAAAAAAATAAAGTAGTTAAAGAAATATGAATCATGCTATGCCCAGTCCAACGGCCCGCGAGTTCAATTCACCCGGACAACCAAAATTCAACGAGTCTCAAATCGCCCAAAATAAGATTTTACGGCATTCTCGGCAATGTATATATGTATTCGGCATTTCGGCATTGGATTAGGCATTTACGGCATTTACGGCAATGGCAAAGACCTGCCGAATTGCCGTTTGGCGAACACTGACCTAAATGACCCCCACTGGCCAACCACTGGACCGATTTGGCTCATCTTTGAACTTAACTCCTAACTTTGTCTAATATACATATGTGCAAAATTTGAACTCAATCGGTTCACCCGTTTTGCCCCTATCGTGTCCCGGACAGACGGGCAGACGGACATGACGGTTTCATAAGCCCTGACTCGGGCTAAAAATGCGTATTAGATTAGGAACTTCTTAATGCCAATTTAATGATTAGTTTTTTCTCAGAAATGCTACAATATTATTCTTCAAAAAAATTCTATGAAAAGCTCCGTATTTACCTAATGACCTCTGCATTGGGAAATATATTTTTCATATGTCTAAGTTCTGCATCCCCAATGGGGACGTCAAAGTTTAGCGACTTCACAGTGGGATGCAGAGTAAAGGTATCAAATATCTGATATATTCCGCGGCTGTTCGGAAGACACAAACTAATGGCTTTCAAGTTTTTCATGCTGGAACCCTTCATAGATACATAGGACACGATTTAGCAATAAAATACTTAATTTGTGTAATTTAA